CAGATAATGGATGTCTATTCTATTAACATTTCTCTATGTGGAGAATGGGTTCAGAGGGCCCCTCCCTGTCTTTGCCTAGGGCCCCACATTTCCTAAATCTGCCCCTGGTGCTCATAGAGAATCTAGTAGAAATGCCTGTTTTTCTCCCATAGTGGGTCTCAGTGAAAAGGTAAACAGGCGCATGGAAGCAAACAGGTAAACACAAGCCTAAAACAATCAAACTAAAAACAATAACAGTTCAGAAGGAGCAAAAATACATTTATCAGAAAACGCTGCAGTAATGAAACCGATCCTGAGTGCAACTAGATTAAGGTAACATCCTCGTAGCGAGAGCAGACTTCTTAAAAAAAAAAAGTGCCTTTAATTTGAGTTTAGTGAGGATCAAACGGTAAATGTTATCAGGTCTGAAGCAAATATTTGATGTTTTTTATCTCCACTGCTTCGGTGGTTCAGCTGATGCTCAGACCAACAGCAGAGGAACTGAGTCACTTTCAGAATCTGGATTAATCTTTCAGCTAAAGACCTGGAGTTCTTATCAAGTGGGCTAATTCATGGAGTCTAAATAGAGTTTCCTACAGTCGAGGCCTTCTGTGCAGGATGATGAATTGTTCCACAGAGATTTCATGTGATGATTGAAGGTGAGGATGAGGAGGAGCAGGTTATCAAAGTTCTGCACAGGAGCTTTTTCTGTGTCCTGCGGTGAATGAATGACTGCAGCCTGGCAGAGAAAACCTGGGATCTCAGATGTTAGAGCCGTTTCATCTCTCTTTTTAAACCTTCTCCTCCAACTGATGAAGATTAAAGAAATTCACTCCTGAAAGATTTTTCAAGATGACCCAAAAACTGACGAGATGTTTCTGATTTCTGTCTCCGATTCTGAGATTAAAGATATTTGAATTTTCACAACGTTTCTGCTTTTAGCTTCTGAGATAGAGAGCAAACTTTCTATCCCTCATCCATCCATCCATCCATCCATCCATCCATCCATCCATCCATCCATCCATCCATGGTAAAGTTGTTTATCTGATCATGTCTAAACTTCTGCTGAATATCAGAATTTTTTCATCAGAACCAGAAACAAACGTCCCAGAATCCCTGACTGTAAAGGTTAGCTGGTTGTTTTCTTTTAGTGGCATTAAAGCTCGGTCTGAGGGACGCCACAGGCAGCCTGGGTACGGATGGTTCTCTCTGACAGATGATGAGCCTAAAGGGTTTCTCCAAACCAAGTAAATACCGTCGCTCTGTGCCCTCATGTAAAATCAGGGGCTGATTTTATGTATTCACATGCATATGTTTATCCTGTGCAGGCAGTGCTTTTATTTTATTTTATTTTATTTACTTTTATTTATTTTAGTTATTTTATCTTTTTGTGCAGCACTTTGGAAACCTTGTGTTTATTGAAATCGTGCTTTTTTTTTTTTTTTTTTATAACTTTATTTTTATTTTGATCGTTATTAACAAACAATACATTGAAACTATAATAGACAAAAAGTACAGAACAATCGAAGCAAAAAACAAACAACATGGGGAGACTCGTATTTTAGTAACTCAAAACCCATGGAGACCATCCATTTCCAGAATTAGTCCGGTATCGTTGATGTGAAGTTTGTCCATTTTTCCCATTTGTCTAAGCATAGCTGCTCCTGCGTCCTCAGCCTATGTGTTAGAAGCTCCATCTCAAATAGTGCGATCACAGTCTGTATCCACTCCTTTGTGGTAGGAGGTTCAGATTTGCACCACCTCCTGGTTATCACCTTTTTGGCTGCCACCAACAGAATTTTTAACAAATAACAATCATTATTAAATATGATATTGTCCAAAAGACCAAGGTATAA